TGGTTGAAGCCTTTCAATAACATAGAAGAAAGAATCCAAACACAATCAACAACACTTGCTGTGAAGGTTGATGTCCTGCTCAGTTTTTATTGTCAAGTGGACACAACCTAGAGTCACCTGGGAAGAGGGAAACACAATTGAGGGATTGCCCAAATCATGGCCCTATTAGTAAGGGAGTGGTTGATTGATGTGGGAAGGGCCAGCCCACTTGAACCCTACTTGCCCAAGGCAGGAGGACCTGGGCAGTGTACTAAAACTAGTTAAGCATGAGCCAGGAAGTGAACTAGCAAGAAACATTCCTCCATGGTTTCTGCTTAAGTTCCTGCTTGAATTCTTGTCCTGACTTCCCTCAGTGATAGCTTGTGTCCTGGGAATTTTTAAATGAAATGAACCTTTTTGTCCCCAAGTTGATTTTGGACATGGTGATTAACATGGTAACAGTTTTTACCATATGCATAGTATTTAGCCTGAATGTATATGTCCTTGGATAGAGCCCCTTTCCATGATAACCCCAAACAACTCTATTTATAGTAAATATATCTCACTTTCCTTGTGAGATAGACATTTACCTTCTCATCTGTAATCTTGTCATGTGACCCTCTGAAACCTGACAGTGATAAGACAGAAACTTTAAAATCTTATATATGCCTATTTTAAAAACAATAAGCTAAGACTACCCCAATGGGCTCATACCTACAGTTGGATAGGTCTTGCTTTCTTCTGAGTGCCTCCTTTTCTGCTAATCATGAATGAGGCTTAAGCTTCTATTGGTTTTTCTTTAATAAAATTTTAACTGTTTTATTATAGTAGCTAGTCCTGAAATTATTTTCATAATTCAAGTAACAAATCATGTATTGGCATTAATTGATGTCCCCTAGACTAGGGTACCCATTCAGCCTGTTGTGCTTACAGTAGGGAGCTGTGCCTCCTTTTCATCTGTATTGGAAAACCATGACATCAGAAAACTGTGATGATTCCACTCACTGAATACTTCCTCTCTGCCTAGTTCAGTGCCACTGAAGAAACATATGTATCATCCAGAGTAAAAAACTAGATACTTCTCTCCGTACAGGTAGCCATTTTAATAGAGGAGGACCCATATTTTACACTTTCCAATTTGGGCAAGGACCTGCCAAATGCTACTATTTTCATTCAGGGACTATAGATACAGGTTAAGAAAATGTAGTGCTTGTGTCTGGGACATTCTGAGATTGATGTGTCAGAAATCAGTGACTGGGAATGTAGCTCAATGATAGAGAATTTGAACAGTGTAAGCAAGCTTCTGATTCCAATCTCAGGCACTGCAAACAAAGTTAAAGTCATAACTTTGAACCATACACACAATTCCTACACTCAGGAGAGAGAGAGTAGCAGAGAAAGATCATAGGTTTGGAGCCCATCTTAGCAACAAAACCCTATGTAATAAGACAAAGGAGAGGAAGAGAGAATGAAAGATAGGAAAAGAACTTGTTCCATTTGCCTGTGGTGATTGACATTTGAAAGTGGGCATACTTTATCCTTCCTTTCCTTCGGGTGTGTGATCAAATGTCGCTATCAGTGAGATCTCACTTGGATATAACATATAACAATCCCCTTTTCCATTGCATTCATTTTCCTCATCCATAACAATACTACTGCCTTTTATTTATCTATTTTTAGTCGTTTTCATTGCTTTCCATTACGATAATGAAAGCATTAACATAGTAAACAAAATACTTCTGTACAATGTATAGTTATGCCAGATAGTAATTAATATAATGGAGAACAGAGAGTGGAAAAGGGCGCAGAGAGTACTGCCTCCACTAATGACCTAGGTGAAAGGCAGTGATGTGGTGAGAAGTATTTGGATTCTGCATGTATTCTGAAAACAGAAGTAGCTGAAGACTGTGATGGTACCTTGTGGTGAAGATTGTAAAAGAAAAATATACCCTAGGGTATGGATCTAGAAATTCACTGGTGATATGGAAACACCACCTGGAAGCAGAAGTGGGATATTCACCAACCAGTATGGATCAAGAAAATAGTTTCCTACCTAATGTTCCAACAGGATCACTGGATGCTTTAGCCAAACACTCACCCATCCCCTTTTTTACTATGACACCCCTAGATGAATGTCAGCCAATCAGGGGCCCTGAACCTTAAAAATCCCCTCACCCCAACCTCGGCTATGATTAAAAAAAAAAAAAAAAAAAAAAAAAAACTCATCCCAACTGAGCTCAAGGTTCTCCAATCTCATCCTGCTGTATCAGGCACATAGAGGGCCCAAACTCAATTGAGCTAGAAGAAGGGCTCTTTGCTTTTGCATACAGGAAAGAAAAAGAAAATAGTTTCCTTATTATAGAAGTTTGGCTACAAAAGGTAGTGATAGAGATGGCCCTGAAGCGCATGTTTGTTTCTACATGCTAGAAGCATGTAAGCTTATTTGTATGCTGAGAAAAAGAGATCAGTTACACAGAAGACAAAGAATCTCAGTGGATAAATGTGCTTGCCTCTAAGCCTGACTACCTGAATTCCATTCCCAGGACCCACTTAAAGGTGAAAAGAGATATGACTCCAAAAGTTATCCTGTGATTTCTACATATGTGCTGTGGCAGACACACAACAAATAAATCAAATATATGTAATTTAAAATTTAAAAGAAAAAGGAAAGATAATCTGGTGCAGGGTGGTGGCTGGTGATAGATGGGATCCTGAGTACTTATACTTAGTCTTGGTTAGTAGCACAGACTAAGACAAGAAGGAAGAATGGGAGGATTCAGTAGTATATTGACATGAGAGTTCCTGCTCTGGAATGTAGGACGCACTAAAGTACCAATTAATTGTGAGAAGAAAAGCAGTATGCAGTGCGGGGGGAGGGGGATTTAAGGAAGCTAGCTAATACTGCACAGAGTCAGATATAGCTAATTTAGAAAATGGCTAGTTAATAAAGGCCCTGGTAGGATGTTGTCTAGGTAGGTATATTCACCCCATTCTGTAGATTTGTGAATGACTACTTCTTTTGTAATCAGTTATTTAACAACAGGATCTCAGTTTTTTAATCTATCAAATGGCCATGAGTATGATGATAACTTGTCAAATGAGTTAATCTACATAAAATGATTATTTGAACAAATTCTCCAGCATATAAAAGTATTTGTAAAAGTGAAAGTAACTTTTAGGTTTCTTTTGAAAAATATAGTTAACAAATCACAATTTTATATGAAAATGAGAAATAATGTAATATTTTCATTAAATGTAGCATGATTACATCAAGCTGATTGACATACCCATCATCTTATTTGCCTATAATTTTATGGCTTGACATGTAAATTTTATTTTTAGTCATTTTGAGTAACATACTGCATGGTTATTGACTATAGTTTCCTATCTATCTGAAAATTAGATCTTGTAATCAGTAATTTCCCATTCCATTTCTCCACATGCCTTCAGCCTCTGGTAACAATTAGTACTAATGATGTTAAAGGAAAGAGGTCAGGCATAGAAAAAAAGCACTCAATTATCTAAGTCATATGTGAATTATAAAATGAGTTAAATATTTCATAGAAGTTAAAAATAGAATGGTGATTAGTTTTAAAATGGCCATGAAATTCTGGTTTGTTAATTCACATTAGAGTAACTATAGATAGTATCACTGCACTATAGACAGTTCAAAAAACTGGAAAAACTATAATTTTTACCATAAATTATAAATATGTAAGGAAATAATATTCTTAACCTGATTCAAACATTGGACATTGTATAAATATATTGAAATATCATGTAGTGCTTTATGTACAGATACATTTTAATGTTTTACATATAGGTAGAAATAAACTTAAGGTTGGAAATTTAAATAAAGAGAAACGAATAGACAGGAAAGAAGGCAGAAAAGGAGCAAAGGGAAAGACACCAGGGGTGATATGACTTCTGAAATACAGTACCTAGTCCAGAATAAGGAAATTCTGTGGAGCCAACCCATACATTTCTAGGAATATAATTTCTGGAAAAGAGGGCAATTCTGATTAGAAAGAATGGCTCATTGTTAATTGAGGTCAAGGATGCTAAAATACAGTAAGTGACAATTTTGAAGCAGTTTATCTACAATCTGAAGCACTGCAAGGCCAGATACTACTCTTGGCCTACATACACTGCCTTTATACTGAATAAAGTCTGCTTATTGGACTGCCTAGCAAGGAGCTAGCAAGCAGGCTAGAAGCCAAAAGCTACACTTCCTTAGACTTCTCTTCCACAGGCAAGGATCTAGAGCTCAGCTGAAGTTTAAAGTACTTAAGACTCGGACTTCCGGAAAGTTGGCATTGACAGTTTAGGGAATGGGGCTATTAGGTTCTCACTGAGGGTTAGTGACAAGAAAAAAAAAAGCCAAGGAAGATTGAATTGGCAACTAGAAAAAGAATACCTAGAAGTATTCTGGAGAGGTGCTATTACCCAACACAAGGACATTTAATTTTGCCAGTATCTCAGTAACCTCATGTAGAAAATGGGGCTGTTTCAGGCCCTCTTTGTTGGATATTTTGTGTATACCAATAATAGTTTCAATTGCAAGTCTTTTGACATGCTCAGTGTCCAAATGTTTTTAGGGGTAACCATATAATCTGTGCTTCACATACCACAGAAGATTGTGCACTGTTCCAATGGGCATAATTTTCTAGCAACTAACCCAGATAGAGATAATGATATTTACTTTGAGAATAGTCAACATGGGCTAGAGTAGATACTAGAAAAAATATGTGGAATCCAAGTCCACTTGGAGTCTTCCATATACTTGGATGTTTTCAAAAGCTTTATACCAGGGCAGCAAACTCTTACCAAGAGCCTTGTTGAGAAGGTGCCACAATGGGTCAGTTTTCTCTCTTCATTTTTTCAGCCCACAAGATCTCTGTGCTTGTCAGGAACAGAACTCTGACTATCCTTCCCTATGGCAGATCAAACCCTTTCCCCATGAACCTCCCCCATTCCCACACTCAACAGCAGACACCAGGACTTACTTTGCTCAAGACTTTATTGTGGAGGATAATACATCAGAGTAGTCATGAGTTGTATTATACTCAAGCTCCCTGGTTTACCAGGTATCTTTGGGAGGTATCATGGGTTCCTTGGAAGGTTGAAAACTTATCATTGATGTCTGAGGTAGCTAATCAACACAGGGGGGATATCCAGCTTGTCAATGGCTTGCAGCTGCTTGGCCTGGAATAGGGATCTGCGGATAACTAAACGAGCCTGAGACAGGAGTGCCCTCGGAGTGGCTACAGCAAAGAGAAAGAGATTATGAGCAACAATTCTCAGTGTACTTATCCTCACCAAGACTACATCTACTTGGCTGTGGCTGCTACAGTCCTAATGCCCTCTCCCTTCTAAGAATTGTCCCAACTGTCTCCCAGTGCATGGTAACAATGGGGAAACACTGAGGCCTAGAGAAGAGAAGCTTAGGCCATCAAAACAGTCTGTTACTGGCATATCTAAGACCAGAAATTCTATAAATGCTTTCTGCATACCCCATCTTGGTGACCCCTTCACTCATGTGGAATCTTTAACCTTTTCTCCACAGGAGCTCAGGAAAATGAAGAAGAGGGAGCTGTCCCTAGGTCAACTCAGAGGGAAAGGCTTAGATGACTTGGAACCCTGAGACCCATTCTACCAGGTATGCATGATCACCACTCACCTCGGGCTTGTAGCAGCAATTTGATGCCTTTATCATCTTGTGAGGGTTCCAAGGGGAGAGATGGAAGGTAGATGTTAGCTCCAAAATCTATTAAAAGCTGGATGTACTCTGGCTCACAATTATGATGAAGGCATATTTCAAGAAGTGTGCGGGGTTGTGGAACACGACCTAAGAGGCTCTGGTCAATGCAGTTGTAATCAGGATCTGCCCCATAGAGCAAAAGCAGGCGGAAACAGTCAAGGTGCCCATAGACTGCAGCCAAATAGAGGGGGCCAGAGCATGAAGCTATGTTTGAAGCCCAGACAGGTAGTTTAGCTTTGACATTGGCCTCTGCGCCATGCCCTAGGAGCTCCTGTAAGATAGCAACAGCACCATCACGTGAAGCAGTGAGAACAGGAGAGCAATTGTTGTAGATGCTACCACTAGGACAGGCACCGGCTTCTAGAAGCATACGCACACATTCCAGATGACCATGACTAACTGCAGTAAAAAGTGGTGTTTGTGCTTTGACATCCAAGCTATCAACATCAGCACCATGTTCCAGGAGAACCTTCACGCAGTTCAAGTGACCATAAGAAGCTGCCAGACGCAAGGGTGTTCCAGGTATTCCCCAGCCACTCCTGCTGTTGATGAACCGTTTATAGCGTTCCTGGTGTAGAAGGTGGTCCAGGGTACAGGAGTCATTTTCATATACAGCTTGATTGAGAGCCTGCTTCTCTCTGGTGTCAGTATCCTCCTCCTCCTTTTCAGGCTGCAGAAGAGAGAAGATCTTGGCAATATCCATGAGGTTCATTCTGGTTTATTGGAATAGCACTGTTTTCATTGTGCAGAAGTAACAACTACAGATCTGTGGGGAACAAAAGAGGGAGACAGACTAAGCATCCCTATCAAAAATCTATGTTTACTTTCTGACCTTCACCATTAGGGTACTCATCTATTGGGGTCCTGTTTCTCAGTTTCATTTATTTTAGGACTCAAGATGTCTGTCAAAATAGGTAATTTCATAGCTTGGTGACTTAGCATATACTGTTCTGTCTGCCGTTGTGCCTAAGAAATAGATGGTAAGGGTATTGACTGTTTAAATTAAGAGGTAGCATCCCAAATAATATAATTAAAATGAAAGCAAGTAGATTGCAGAAACAACAGGTCTCCAGAGCAAGTTCCCTATGATGATGAATAGTTTCTCCCTTAGGACTGCTCCCAATCAAGAGTGCCTTTGATTGCTTACACTTCTTCGGAACCTTCTGCTTCTCCATCTTTTGACTCAAGCCTTATACCATTCTCTGTTAAATATAGTCTAGAGCTTTGACTCAAACCTCAACTCTTCTTCCCTCAATAATCTTTAGGCCTCAGTAAGTCACCTATGACCCAATAAGGGACTTAGCTTAAACCCTAGACCATGCCACTATGTATCTGTTGAGTTAGTTTCTCTATAATTTATGTTCACATAACTCTAGTGGTCATCACAATGCACTGTGGCTTCTATAGGAATCTGTTTTGCCTCATCTGCCATATCGTGGTGTGGGTAAGGGAAAGAAACCTTCCTCCTGCCCCTCGCTGACTGTGGCAGATGGGAGAGCTGACCCTGAGGTCATACGATCACTAGTGCTGACATTGCCCTTCACCAGCTGCAGCACTCAGCTGAGTGGCCCCTGTATCTTGCCTAACACAGTAGAGGTGTGGGTATGGGGAAGCTTATCCTGCAGAGTGTGAAAGCAGAACTGGCCCCAAATCTTGCTCATCACTACAAAGGGTGAACTAACTGGGCTAATTTTGGAGAGCTCACCCTGGTGGTGAAGATGGGGGAGAGCTGGCAAGAAACAGGGTTTGAGATGGTCTACCCCAACATCCACCCCATCTATGATCTGCTGGAGTACAAGAAGGGGCCTCCTGCAGACCCAAACCTGCAGGATCTCCACAACACAATTCAACAACAGGATATCCAAGAGGAGTTCCAGGGAGGCCCCAGCATCGATAGTGTAACAAAAACCTGAGGCATCAAAACAGACCAATGGCCCTTTGTAATGAATACTTGCAAGTAAAGATATATAGATATAAGGGTTCATGATTCACTATGTCATTCTACAACTTCCTTAAAAATATTTTCCTGTTTTACTTTTTTCTCTTAAATTTTATTTTATTTTATTGGGGTGGGTGTTGCAGGGGCAGAGGGCAGATATGAAGGGACAGGAAATGAATTGGATCAAGATGCATGATGTAAAAGACACAAAGAATAAATAAAAAGAAAGTAAAAAACACAGAAAGAAATAAATTAATGTAGCCCTTGAAGTCTTATCTTATCCAATAAGACAAAGAAGTAAAAGCAACATAAAAAGGCAGAGAATTCAGACTTTGTTGACTCCCCATGGGAAGCCTTACTGTCTCTGAGGAGTGGATGAGGGTAGGTTGGGGGAAGTTGGGGACAGCAGGAGAAGAGGAAGGAGTGGGAACTAGAATTGGTATGTAAAATGAGAAAAGATTGTTTTAAAAGGAAAAGAAGGCAGAAATCAACTAACTTATCTGTACAGGCAGAAGTCAACTTACCCATATTGCATATTTTCAGACCACGTAACAATCCCTTAAGACTTTACTGAAAAAAAAAAAAAAAACAAAACCATCGAAATAGTAAGATAAAATACTGACATGTAAAACTCAATAGCCTTTCTATATACTGATAATGAATCTCAGTAGAAACTATGAAACTATCCCGTTCACAATAGCTTCAAAGGTGTGGTGGTTTGAAAGAAAATGGCCCTCTGAAGGGACTGGCCCTATTAAGAGGTGTGGCCTTGTTGGAGTATGTGTGGTCTTGTTGGATGAATTATGTCACCATGGAGGCTAGCTATGAGGTCTCATATATGCTAAAGCCACACCCAGTGCCACAGTCCACTTCCTGCCGCCTGCCTATTCAGATGAAGAAGTCTCAGCTACTTCTCCAGCACCATGTCTGCCTGCATGTCACCATGTCACCCCATAATAATAATGTACTAAACCTCTTAAAATGAAAGCCATTCCAATTAAATGTTTTTTCTTTGTGAGAGCTGCCAAGGTCATGGTGTCTTCCCAGCAATAGAACCCCTAAGGCAGAAGTATACCCTGGTATAAACTTTGATAGAAGAGTCCTTTTTAGTGAAAATTATATAACTAAACAAACTGACTAAGACAGAAGAAGATAGAAATACCTCAAGTTATCATGGATTGGCAGAATTAATATTGTGAAAATGTCCATATTACCAATAACAATCTACAGACTTAATTCAATACAAATCAAAATTCCAACAATGCTCTTCACAGAAAAAAGAATATAATCCTAAATTAAATACTGAAGCATAAATAGGCCCCAACTAGCCAAAAGAATCACCTATACTATAGATATCAAAGACTTATAACACAAAGCCACACAAACAATATCTGTATGGCACTATCACAAAAGCAGACACGTAATCCAACAGAATACAAGATCTAGAAATAAATCGACACACCTACAGCTATCTGATTCTTCACAATGGCGTAAAAGGACTAAATCACAGAAAATACAATCTGTTCAACATTTGGTGATGGTAAAACTAGATATCCACATGTAGCAGAATGAAGCTAGATCCCTATCTGTCAGCCTACAGGAAAAATAAATTCAAAATGTACCGAAGACCTTAATGTAAGATTTAAAACTCTCAAACTACTAGAAGAAAAATAAGACAAACACCTCAAGAGATCAGCATTGATAATGATTTTCTGAAAAGGACTTCAATAGCACAGGAAATAACTACAACGAATTGACAACTGTAATTATATAAAAGTAAAAGGTTTTTTCACAGTAAAATAAACTGCTAATAGAATGATGACACAGTTTACAGAACAGGAGTAAATATTTGCTAGCTATACACCTAACAAGGTATAAATATCTAGAATAAAAAGAAACTCAAAATAGGATTACTATATGACCCAGTAATACTCCTGGGTATATACCTGATTCTAAGTGAACATACCAAGAGTTATTTACACATCTATGTCAATAATAGTACTATTCATACTAGCCAAGTTGTGGAATCAACCTAGGTATCCAACAATAACTCAATGGTAAGGAAACTGTGGTGTATGTAAACAGTGGAGCTTTATTCAGCAATAAAGGAACATAAGATGATGTCACTTTCAAGAAAATGGATATAACTGGACATCATATTTGTAAAATAAGTCAGATCCTGGAGATTTATACAATACTTAAAATTATTTAGGTCTATTCATCAAGGTAGAAGTAGACTTTTTGGAAGAATGAGGTAGAATGGGGAAAGAAGGTGGTAAGAGGTAGAGAGAAAATAATGATAGTGGGGCAAATATGGTCAAAGGACATGATGCATTTGAAAAAATATTTTTGTGAAACCAAACACTGTGCCATCACCATATGCTAATGAAGACAATTTTAAATTAGCTTGAAATTATGATAATTACTGATTTCTTTTTTATTTTCTGTTTTTTAAAATAAAAATTTAAGACAGTCACTCTGGAGCCCTGGCTGTCCTGGAACCTGCTATGTAGACGAGGCTAGCCTAGGATCCACAGAGATCCATCTGTCTCTGCCTCACCAATGCTGGGTTTAAAGAGGTGCACAAAGACACCTGGCTTTGAGTATTGATTTCTATGACTATTCTCTACTTTGTGGTTACATTTCCTCATCAATGAGCACAAATGATAGTTCATGCTTCAGGAAAGAAATAATTACTCCTACAATACTATTTTCTTTCTATACTTATTTCTTCACAATGACTCTTTTTATCAACTACTTTAGGAAACACATTAGAAAAATAACTATAGTGTGTATGTTGTGGTTTTCTATGATTATTGCTTCCTACTTAATGTTTTAAAAACTCAGTTGGAATGGCTCTTACTGATAAGTTAATTTCTTCACCATAGAGATGGGGAATTCAAAGCTTGGCAGGTTCCAGGGACTTTTCTAATATCATATCATTGTTATTGTGAATTTATCTTGTTATTGTGAACCCAGAATATATTTATAAGCATGTACTTTTCAAAGGTATTTCACATGTAGAATAAGTAATACTCTCATTTTGAAGATGGTAGAAACTAGAGCTTGGAAGTTAGTACATTTGTGAAGTGCCTTATGTCAGCCAGATGCATGCTACCAGAGTTAGAATACAATCTAGATTTCCCTACTTCTCATCCTCCCCCTTTTTGTATTATAACATGAAACACATACCCCTTTCCCTTGCTTCATGTGTAGTAACACTGTGGCTTTTAACTTTTGAGCATCACATTGCATTTCAGGAACTTTTATAATAGAAGTTCCATTTACATATCTTTTCTCATGGTAGTCCATTGGGATTCCCTTCTTCCTGTTTCATTTTGGGGACAGTTCTGGTGGAGGAAATGCTGAGGTTCTCACCTAGGTCATACAATGTGTTCACAGTACAGTTCATATTATAATGAGCCCCAGAGCACAAGGAATCATGGCTGCTTGCGCTTGAGTAAACTGTGCCTCAATTGGATAAGAACTAGAAAATCCAGCTAGTCTACTGTGTAGCTTTACCTTGCTCTAGATTATTAATAAACAGTTAGCATGTATACACTGTAAACAAATAACTTCTTCTTCATCCCTGTAGTTGCAGTTATTTTAAACATTTCCTTTGTGACCCTGATAAAGGTAAAGTCAAAGTCATGGGTCCTTTTTGTTATGCTTCTAGTATATAAAGTACTACATACATAATTAAAGAACCAAATATCTTAAAATGTTGCCATCAAACCGTTTTTAACACTATGATACAATAAACAACAAGATCTATTAATAATTTGTAAGTGGTGGTTGACGGTCAA